CTGGCACACAGGTCCACTGCAGGTGCAACTGCTGAGCCAGATCTTGGGCCTGACAGGACGGATGAAGCCCTTTGTTCCTGCAAATGGGCCTTTCCTGGCAGTGATGGAGCTTGCCTGCAGTCCAGCCCGCTCCTCCTCTTCACTGCAGTCATTATCCTAAAGTGGTTTTATTGATCTGCTGACTCCCTGTCTCCCGCCTGTGCTCCCTGTCATCTTCCCTCCCCCGCTGCACCCCATCCTCCAGAGCTCCTAACCGCTCTGTTGCTGGCCTTGCACATGGAAAGCTTTTTCTTCAGGGGTGAACGAAGATTTTGAAGTTAGATTAGACAACGGCATGTGCCTCGTGGGAAAGTAGATGTCCCCTGAGAACAAACATTTTCAGGCCGGTATATGTCTCCTTTCACCAACCACATCTTTCCTGATTTTGCGTGATTTGTTATTTCACATTTTTATATGGTCCAGGCTAGATGGGTGACATCAAAGTTTGATTTCAAAGTTTGCATTTTGGTCAGCTGTAGTAAAATGTACAGTGTCGTGATAATACCTCATTTTGAACAATTTTCCATTGTATTAATGTTATAGCTTGCATGTAATCAGAATAATTTTAAATCATTTACCTTTCTGCCATAACATCCATTACAAGCCTCTTAAATTATGTATTCTTATTTTATTCTTACCAATTCTGTGAGACAACTATTTTTATTTTTCATTTTTATTTTATGTGTATGCTTGTATTACCTGTGTGTAGGTAAATGCACCTGTGCAATGCCCACGGGGAATGGAAGAGGATGTCAGATCTCCTGGCACTGGAGTTACAGACAGTTGTTAGCTGCCATGTGGGTACTGGGATTCGAACCAGAGTCTTCTGCAAGAACAGCCAGTGTTCTTAACTGCTGAGCCATCTCTCCAACCCCAAGAGATAACTATTTTTAAAGCCTATGTACAAGTAACTTAAAAGTCACACATGTGACCAATGTGATAGAGACTAGACTGAATGCGAACTTAGTCTGGAACAAAACTTATTTTCTACTCTTGAAAAAGTATATATTTTTTCACACTGTTTCAGATTTCAGCTGAATATCTGATTAGCCTATGCTCCATTACAGATGTGTTATATTTACTATTACCTGTGAAACTCTAGCAGTTTTTATCTTTTAAAAGGTAGAGGGATAGCATGGTGTTAATCACCTGTGCACTGGCCCACCTTGTTATACACACGCTCAGGAAGACTTTCAAATCAAACCTCATTTGGTTGTGTGGCTCTTACAGGTATCTGAAGTAGTTTGAGTTAATTTGACATTGTTTCTTTGTGAAAGCATGAATTTAAGATGCCGATTTAATCCTCTGCCCAAAGTCCATGAATAAGACTTGTTTAGACTCTTTAACCTCTTTTTTCTAATGTGAGACAGGGCAAGAACACAGGTATGGAAGCTTACACAGTCTTAGCCCTGGATGTACCAGGCGCCTGGTGTCAGAGAAGGTCACCAGAAACAATACAGATTTTATGAGGCACCAGAGACCAGGATGCTGCCATGACCTTTAATTAAACTTATGATCACCTTATGTGCCTGTAAGGAAGGCACATTTAGAAAAGATGTATGTACCTTCCAAGGGCTAGAATGAATTACTGCCTTGTTAGAATAAGAGTGAGGCAGGTCTCTGGAAGAACTGGATTCTGATTATTAGTGAAGGCAGGAGAATGGAGCATCAGTGAGACAATCCCTGTACATAATTATTATTTATTACTATTGAACAATACTATCTGCTGTGCACCAATCCGGTCCACTGCCATATATAACATTGACGTGCTCTTGGCCCTGCCAAATCAATACCTTCTATTGCAGACTATAGAGATGACTTTTGTCCTTTATCTGCCCCCAGTACACATTTTTAAAGTGGGAGATGTTCAGAGTGCGATATTATGTTCACTTTCTACATTTTAAGGCTAGTGTCTACAAATGTTCTTTGCTTAGCAGCAAAGTTTTTTATTTCTTTGTCTTTTGACTTATAAAGTCAGCAATGTGTCTTCATTAGAAAAATAACAGCAGATTTAGTTTAAGATGATGAGAAAAAATTAGTGCAGGGTAAATGGAAAGGGTTAGGACTAGAAATGAACATGACTTGCACTCTGTTCTGAAGTCATCACCATATATGTAGGAGACTGGGCTCTAATTTGCTATTGTGAAAGCTAAAATTAGTCAGTTAGCAATCTTGGAGCCTCAGTTTCCTCTTATGTACAATGAGGGGTTTGGGTGAAATCTGTGGTGCCAAATAGATACATAGCACATGTGCTGTCACATATGGTTTGTATGCCTGTGGCAGACATTTCTAATCTAAAGCAACTTTCTTTGTGAACAAGCCAGAATACAGTCTCAGTACATCTGTAAGTGAGGGCTGTGGTCAGAATTTTAAAGTCTGCATTGTGTGATTTTTTTTTCCAGCCTAGACATTTTAAGATCCTGAAAGAGAGACCATTTTACTAAAGTTTATGCCACAGAGCCCTGTGTACATTGAACTGACCCTTCACAAAACTCCCTCAATTCATTTCAAAGAGGAAAGACATTGATGAATTTCGACAATGAGGCTGTTCATGTAATAGAAAAGATATTCTTATTAAAAGATCGCATTGTTTACCCTACACCTCAAACTACTCTTTTAAGACTCCCTTCTGCTCTCTGATGAGTGGATTTCCAGTCATATTCTGCCTATTTTCAGATTGAATATTTTTGCTCTGTTTCATTATGATATCTTCTTTTTCAGTTTTTATGCGTATATATCAATCATACATAATAGCAGGTTTCATTATGATGTTTTCATACATGTGCTTTGGTCATATTCTGTCTCTAAAGTGACTCTTCAAATAAACTCATGCTTGTGGCACTGGCATGGTCTTATATCATTGGGGCTGGTTTCCTGAAAGCCTTATATGAATGTTCTTCATCACTGGCTGCTTATCCATGATTATACAGGTAAAGGCAAGGAGAAACAAGCACCCCATGGGAGACGACAGCCCCTGTCGCATTGTTTAATGGAAGTGCTTGGGTGTCCTCAATGAACGTTTCACTACGTATTTATTTGTGCATATGAGAGAGAATATTTGTATGTGGTGTATGCACATGTATGTGCTGGCGTGCTCACCTTGTCCGCATGCATGGGGGCCAGAGGATGACGATGACATCAGATGCCTTGCTCTATCACTCTGCCTTGTTCTCTTGAGACAGGGTCTCTCATTGAATGTGGATCTAGGCTGAAAGCCAGCAAGCTGCAGTCATCCTCCTGTCCGCACTCACCACAGTGTTGGGATTGCAGGTGTGTGCAGCCTTGCCAGGCTTTTTACATGGGTGCTGGGTATTTGAATTCAGTTCCTCACACTTGCATAGTAAGTGCAGTAAACACCGTTTCCCACCGTGCTGTTCCCTCAGTTCCTCACTGTGGATTCACATCTTTGTTATTATCTTAAAAATGCGTGTTAATTGTGCACAAAAGAATAATTATTTTACTGTGCCTTCCTGAAAACAGATGCACGTCAAATAAAATCAGGCTGTTATTTCTAATGGTATCACATGTATAACAAACTGAAAGTTTTATCATTTAGACCTCACTCTAAGGAGTGTCTGTGTTTTGTATTATGTCTATTCAGTTACTGCTGGTATTTTTATCAAGGCTGAGGCCTGATGGAAGATTAGTAAAAAATTTAACTGAAAGTGAATTCATTTCGCACTATGTACAGACTACTCCCTTCCCATAAGATTTGATTCTGGCCTTATAAATCAGGTTAACCTAGCTGCACCTATAACTTAAAAGACCTATTGACAGGGCTGGAGAGATGGCTCAGTGGTTAAGAACACTGGTTGTTCTTGCAGAAGACCTGGGGTTCGAATCCCAGCTCTCACATAGCAGCTAACAACTGCCCGTAACTCCAGTTCCAGGGGATCCGATGGCCTCTTCTGTCCTCCGCGGGCATTGCACAACATGGGTGCACTTACCTACATGCAGGCAATACACACATACACAGGAAATAAAAATAATAACTAAACTATGAAACAAAAGATCTATTGAGTTACAGGGAAAATGGAGACTTGGAAGGCAACATGGTGTTTCCAGGTAGAAAGATGAATTAATGAATGACTCCCTTGATTGTAAGTGACAAGCAACAGCACAGCACAGCACAAAGAATTGTTGTAATGATGGCTTGCACGACAACCCCAGACGGGCACTTAGGAGTGGCCTTGAATAACTTCTCACATTCCTTAAAACATTAGAGAAAGTCAAATGGGGCCCATGTAGAAACAAGATCCTTAATGATGATGCTAAAAACAAAAGAAGGATGGGAAGATGACTCTGTGAGTAAGGATGCTTGCTGAACAAGTATGGGGGTCTAATCAGATCCCGAGGACCCTGCGAAAGGCGTTCGTGTTCATGCAAACCTGTAACTCCAGCAGTGAAGGGACAGAGACAGGAGCGTAGGTGAGGCTTCCTCACTGCCAGCCTAGCTCCAGGTTCAGTGAGAGACCCTGTCTCAAGTGAATAAAGTGGAACGTGATAGAACAGGACTGATATCCTCCTCCAGCTTCCACATGTGTGTGCATGAATGCTCATATCATACACAGATGATACACCACAGACACACAAGTGCGCGTATACACACACACACACACACACACACACACACACACAGAGAGAACAAGGAAAGCATGAAAGAAATTAAATTGATAGATTTGATTATGTTCTAAAATATGAAACCTATTTTCTTGAGAAGAAAATCCTCAATAAAATTAAATATTCAAATAACAGTGTCATAGCAATAAAATATCTTTCATACATCTATCAGAAAAATATTTATTTCTTCATAGGAAAGGGCACAAACTTTTGCCTTCTCAGAATATTTTGGTAGAGTTTGGAGAAAAGAAGAGTGCTTGCCAGTATCTCCTCCTGACATCATTACCTCTAAGGCTAAGTGTGAGAGTAAGGGTCTTTACTGGCTTCTATGTCCCTGGACACCACAGCTTACATGTTCATTCATGAGAACTGAAGATTCAGGAACTTGATTTTTGAGGACCTCATTTTAGCAACTGGAAGGTGAATTGAGCTCCAGGTCTGAACTTTCAAAAGCTATCTTTCCAGCATTCCAGTTCCTGATAATACACAGCACTGCGGCAAGATACACACTGACCTTGCATCGCTCACTGGTGTCCAGGTCTCTTATCCTGTATAATGAGTGTCCAGTATAATGATCAGGTAAACGGTTGCCTCTGATTGGCTGAGGTGAACTTTGGACTTGGAGTGAAGAGGAAGAACTGCAAACTGTTTTCTTTCAGTCCCAGGGGAATCTTGAATTTTGTGAGCCTGGATAGAAGGGGGGAAACGCAGAACTTTGTGAGAACCTCCCACATGTGTCAGGGCCCAGTTCCAGTAAGTAGGCTTTATTCCCCTGGTGCTAACACACAGTAGCTACAAGACAAGAAAACTTTGCCCAATATCCATTGGCATGGGATTTATTCATCCCCCTTAATTAGGAATCTCTAGGGACAATTGTTGGGACTAAGGAAAGGGGCCTCATGAAAGAGAAACAATTAAGAATAAGTGGAAGATGATCAGCATTCTGAGCCTTTGCCACCAAAGCTTCCTTAAGAATCTAAGAGATTTGAGATCAATAAAGGCTACAGCTTGATCTTGCTCCTCTTTCCCACCTAGATTGATGTGATTTGCAAGAACCTGAACATGCCACCACTAACCAATGCACTTGCAATGATAGTCCCCGCTGCCCTGCTGTGTTGCCCCAGTTGTCACCAAGAAGAAGGGCTGACAGACAGGGCAGGTTCCAGCCGGTAGCAGCATTTGCACTTTCGCAACCACTGCCTTTCATATACTGAATCCAGAACAGAAAAACCCTCGTGATGAGTCCCTAGAGGATAAAGAGAGAAGTATTTAATTATATCTCATTCTGGCCAAGGTACTTTAAAAATAATTTAGAACTCACAGATTCCAGAAGGTCCTCCATGCAATGAAGGCTGACGCCTTCTGCCCCATGCCCAGGCTTCATGTTGGATACCATGAACCCTTGTGCTTTTCATCCTGTAAGAAGATGCTCTGAAGGACTGTTTGGTCCCTTCCCTGACCCTGAGACTCTCATTCAGCAGGGAGTTCGGAGTACCTCCATGACAGGAAAAATCTCACTGTTATATTTGTGCCTTCCTGTTAGACCCAGAGGATATTGTTTTGATATTATTTAATTTACAGACAGGAAAATCATTGGGATCTGGTGCTGTCTTGATAACCCTGCTAATACAGCTGCCAGGACTTCCCTGTATGCACTGTCCAAGCTCAGGGACACCAAAGGGCAGTCATTTCAAGGCTCCAGGTGTGAATTTCAAGGGTGGTCACATGACATTCCATAAGCCCATTTATGAAAGAGCTAATTAAAAATACAGATGTCTTCAACTCACAATACCCAGACAGCTGAAATACTTATTAGGTTCTTTATTTGTATTTTTTTACTGTTGGAGCTCCATATCCTCACTTCTTTCCAGCACAAAAGCTAATAACAGATAACAAAGCACAGCCAGGGAGGGCCTCTGCTCTTTCTTCTCTCCACTAATTGACATGCTTTGTTTTTAGAGAAAACACCTAGCACTTCTACAAATTGGTATTTTACTACAATGCCTTTTAAAAGATTACTTTGTTTTCTCTTTTAAAATGGCTCAGACATAGTATTGTTTATCTAGGGCAGAAGACTTTTCCAAAGGTTTTTAGTCTATCATCTGAGTCCAAGAACAGAGAAGCACTAAGGATCACTCAGCTTTCAGAAAAGGGCTCCTCTTTCTGTCATGTTGTCTCTGACTCCTTGGAAGCAGATAAAAAGAAGAGCAATTATCATATTAAAATGTATCTTAGACACATGTGGACCAGGATGAATGAGAAGCTCTGTGAAGACGCTTTGGGTTTTCTTATGAGAGCCACAGCAAATGAATTTCCCCTGATTGAGAAGATGCATGCTTTAGATTTGAACTGTATAGTTCAAAATTGATGTCAACATACAAAAGTGATGTTTTATCCAAATAACACCTCGTTAAGGCACAAAGACGATGTGACAATGCTGGTTGGTCATTTTGCTAATTTCCTTTATTCATTCACTCAGAGACACACGCTTGGTATTTTTGGAGGGCTTGCTAGGTAATAGTCACTGTATCAGACACTGGATTTGAATATTCAGGGATGTACAAAATTGTGCTATGAGAAGGCTTGTGCTGTCAAAGTCGTATTCTATGGTCAACTGGGAATGTACAAGATAAGAGTACAGACAGAGACTGGAAGTCTAGGACATAGTGAAGGTTTGATAGAAGCTTTTATGTCAGCCCGAGGAAGGTGACTGGAGCATTGCTGTGCACAAAAGCTGTCAGCCTTTTTTTACTTGTCCTGCTCTCTTGGAATGGAACGAAAATAAGGTGTCACTACCAACCCCCTTCCTCAGCTGGGATCACTGGCTTGGCATCTCTGCATGCTGCTCGCAGGAGAAATGTGTGTGCTCTTTCTGTCTGCCATCCCCTTGCTCATTTTATTCATTGCAGAACAAATGATAGAGCATCCACTAAGGGTCAAGTACTTTTCTAAGCTTTGGGGATTCGTTGGGGGTGGAAGGATCTGATATCCATATTCATGTTGCTTATAGCCCTGAGAAACCCTCATGGCAACAGCAACAGCAGACTGAGGAAGAAGGCCCCTCTAAACATGCCACTTCTCAGTCCTTATATTCTCTCTAAAACTATTCTACTCTGCGCTTCTCTCCTATTAAATGACTTCCAACCTTTCTAATAGAACACATTGACTTATATGTGAATAGTACCATATAAGTCAGGTGCTCTAAAAAATATTCAGTAACTGTAACCACACAATCTTTTCTGGCTGAGTGCCACTTAGAAATTGGAGTGTTTTCCTTGTGTTCCCAAAGTCTGTGCTGCGCTTTGGAAATTTTCTAGACCTTTCACTCCAACACAGAAGCCACTAACCACATGCAGCCTCTGAGCCCTTGAAATACGATGAGTCCAAATTGAGAGGTGCTGTGAGGGTAGAGTAGGCACCAGACTGCAAAGATTTTGTGTGGAAATAATGTGAAATAGTTCATTAGCATATTTACATTTTAATTGGATTTTATTTATTTTGATATGTGTGGGCATGTGTGTGTTTGTATAGGTGCAGATGTATGGATGTCAGAGGACAACTTATGATAGTCTGCTCTCTCTTTTCACCATCTGGATCCAAGGATAGAACTCAGGTTCTCAGGCTTGGCAGCAAAAACTTTTATCTGTTGAGCCATCTTGTTGGTGCACATTAACATCTTTATAATGAATACATGTTGAAATGATATGTTGGATATATTGAGTTATGTAAAATACATTATTAATATTAATTCCATCTGTTTCTCTTAAAAATACAGCTACTGGAAAATTCTGAAATCCTACAGCAACTCCCATCCTACGTCCATGCCGACAGCGTACTTCTCTACCACTCCCTGTATTCATTAATGATCAGGCATCATTGCCCTTTGTTACAGATATTAGTCACTCTGTTCAATGTCAGTAGCCAAATCCAGCACACATTACTTAATATTTCCCAGGTTCTGTGTATTGAGATAGGTTCTGGGACCACAATAGTAAAGGAAAACAAAACACAACAACAAACAAAACAAAACAAAGCAAACACAGTCTCTCTCTTCTGTGGCTTCTGTTTTGCAGGAACCCCCAAGGATATTCTGGTGTTCATCGTTGACTAACACTTCGCTTTAACAGTGTGTAGACTGCAGCATTTTAGGAAAAGTTCAACCTGTTCACTCTTCATAGCCCAACTTAATTATGCGACTTGTGGTATGTCATCTACAGCATCTTCATTGTAATGCCTCACAGTGTTTCACAGACAATGTGTTGCTTTGGGGTTAGGGAGATAGCTCAGCAGTTGAAAGCACCTGCTGCTCTTGCAGAGGACCCAGGTTTGGTTCCCAACACCCACATGACAGCTAACAACTGTCAGTAACTCCAGCTCCAGGGGATCTGAGGCTCTCTTCCGATCTCTACAAGCATTGCATACATGGTATGTACTTACGTATGGGCAGGCAGGACATTCATGCACATAAAATAAAAATAAATACAATCTTTTAAAAATGTGTGGCTTTGACAGTTAGTATGTATTTTGGAAACAACAACATCAACAAAATTCTTCATTTGGGGCCAAAGGCACTCAGAGAACTCTGGGATAAATGAAAACAGCGTGTCTCAAGTTTGAAGGCTCTGTCCGAGCTTTTGCTCTTCTAATGCTGCTTTATGGACCATGAAGATTTCCTAAGCATATCTGAAGTTTCCTACTCTAGAAGATTTTATCACTAGGGACAAAATTGTGCATGATGTGATTTTGCATTGGTGTTTGGTCCACTCATATTTTCTTCCTAATTTTGATATGCCTTCAGTGCCTACTACCTCTCAAATTTCAGGCCCATCTTTCTGCTGTTGGCACTTTGTTTCCCTGGAGCTGAAACTCTGTAAACCCTAGCTCTGCCTTACCACTTGGCTTCACCTAGATTCTGACAGTAGGGTGTGGTAGAGGGAGACTAGAAGACCTGAAGAGCAAGGGGCATAGGGTCTTCTGGCTGCTTCCTGCTAGTTCAGCCATGTCCTGGGTGCTACTTCCTGACCCTGGCAGTGATGGTTCCTTCCATTCTCAGTAGGTAGATCCAGTTGCAGCATTAAAAAAAAATATCAGAGGCCATTAGGACTTTCCTCAGTTAGCCTGAGTGTCAGCTCCAAGCTATTCCTCCTTTAAGTGGCCAAGTTTTTATACTTGGAGTTTCTTCCTTGTGTTCTTGATGCCCTCAGGATTGTGGTAGTCTGTTGTAGGTAGTACCTTCGGATTCCACAAGGTGCTCCCTTTGTCTCCCCAGATCTTCAGCATGCAGTTCTTTATATTAATTATTTGGTGAAAGAAACTGAGTGGTTTCGGACTGTGAACTGGACCTGCTGTGTAGACCTTCTTCATCTTCCCCACTGGCGAGGTCAGCAACTCCAGTGTGAACCAGAAAAAATATTTGAGTGAAATGACACCAAATAGTTCCACCATGAGCCCAGCCAATGTCTGTTCTCAACCCTTAGGGTGAGCTCTTCTTAACCCCCAGACACTTAAGGCCTAAGAAGACAAGCTTTCATAGAATCACAAACCAACCTATTCCTGCTGACCTCTGGGAGTCTACTGGGCCTTTACAAATAGCTCTGGATTTGCCACATTTGCCTGTCTCGCTTGGAATCTGGGGTTGACTAACTGACAAACTATGGAAAGAGACCCTGATTACATTCCTATTCAGA